TGGATGGGAAAACTATTTGAAATTTAAACTGTCCAACAGGATAATGTCACATGGTAAAGTGTAAACTAAAGTGTTCACCATAGTGTACATGTAGAATGGTTCTTACCTATTGAACTTTGCTATTTATACACTGATTTTTGACACGTTGTTTGACATTTGCATTGTTGTCAAGTGTCAATTGGATGAGAAAATTGTTTGAAATTTAAACTGTCCAACAGGGTAATGTCACGTGGCACCATTCAAACGAAAGTGTACATCATGGTGTACATGTAGCAAGGTTCTAACGAATTGAACTTTTCTATTTTTACAGTAATTTTCGACACATTTTTTTACACTAGCATTGTTTTCAAGTGTCAATTGGATGGAAAAACTATTTGAAATTTAAACTATCCAACATGGTAATGTCTCATGAAAAAGTGCAAACTAAAGTGTACACCATAGTATACATGTAGCAAGGTTCATACCGGTTGAACATCGCAATTTGTGCACTTATTTTTGACACATTTTTTGACGTTTGTATTGTTGTCAGGTGTCAATTGGATTGGATAACTGTTTGAAATTTAGACTGTCTAACAGGGTAATATGACGTGGTAAAGTGCAAACTAAAGTGGTGTACATGTAACAAGGTTCTTACCGTTTAAACTTTGTTATATGTACACTAATTTTTGACACATTGTTTGACGCTTGCATTGTTGTCAAGTGTCAATTGGATGGGAAAAGTGTTTGAAACTTAAACAGTCCAACTTGGTAATGTCATGTGGAAAGTGTAAACTAAAGTGTACACCGTAGTGTACATGTAGTAAGGTTTTTACCGATTGAACTTCGCTATTTGTACACTGATTTTTGACACGTTGTTTGACACTTACATTGTTGTCAATTGTCATTTGGATGGGAAAATTGTTTGAAATTTAAACTATCCAGCAGGGTAATGTCACGTGGCAAAGCGTAAACTAAAGTGTGTACACCATAGTGTACAGGTAGCAAGGTTCTTGCTTATTGAACTTTGCTATTTGTACACTAATTTTTAACACGTTGTTTAGCACTTGCATTGTTGTCAAGTGTCAATTGGATGGAAGAATTGTCTAAAATTTAAACTGTCCAACATGGTAATGTCTCATGGCAAATTGTAAACTAACATGTACACCATAGTGTACATGTAGCAAGGTTCATACCGATTAAACTTTGCTATTTGTACACTGATTTTTGACATATTGTTTGACACTTGCATCGTTGTCAAGTGTCAATTGGATGGGAAAACTGTTTGAAATTTAAACTGTCCAGGCGGGTAATGTCACGTGGCAAAGTGTAAACTAAAGTGTACACCATAGTGTACATGTAGCATGGTTCATATAGAACGAACTTTGCTATTTGTACATTGTTGTCAAGTATCAATTGGATGGGAAAACTGTATGAAACTTAAATAATGTCACGTGGGAGAGTGTAAACGAAATTGTACACCATAGTGTACATGTAGCAAGGTTCTTACCGATTGAACTTTGCTATTTGTACCACGATTTTTGACACGTTATTTTATACTTACATTGTTGTCAAGTTTCAATTTGATAGGAAAACTGTTCGAAATTTAAACTGTCTAACATGGTAATGTCACGTCGCAAAGTGTAAACTAAAGTGTACACCATAGTGTACATGTAACTAGGTCCTTACGGATTGAACATTACAATTTGTACACTGATTCTTGATATGTTGTTTGACACTTTCATTGTTGTCAAGTGTCCATTGGATGGGAAAACTGTTTGAAATTTAATTGGTCCAGCAGGGTAATGCCACGTGGCAAATTGTAAACTAAAGTGTACACCATAGTGTACATGTAGCATGGTTCATACAGAGTGAACTTTGCTATTTGTGCACTGCTTTTTAACATGTTGTTTGACACTTGTCAAGTGTCAATTGGATGGGAAAACTATGTGAAATTTAAACTGTCCAGCCGGATAATGTCACGTGGCAAAGTGAAAACTAAAGTGTATACCATAGTGTTGTGTAGCAAGGTCCTTGCCGATTGAACTTTGATATTTGCACACAGATTTTGGACAAGTTGGTTGACACTTGCATTTTTGTCTAGTGTCAATTGGATGGAAAAACTGTTTGAAATTTAAACTATCCAACAGGGTAATATCAAGTGGCAAAGTGCAAACTAAAGTGTACATGTAGCAAGGTTCCCACCGATTGAACTTTGCTATTTGTACACTGATTTTTGACACATTTTTCGACACTTGCATTGTTGTCAAGCATCAATTAGATGGGAAAACTCTTTGAAACTTAAACTATCCAACTGGGTAATGTCACGTGGAAAGTGTAAATAAAAGTGTACTCCGTAGTGTGCATGTAGTAAGGTTTTTAACGAATGACACGTTGTTTGGTACTAGCATTATTGTCAAGTGCCAAGTGGATGGAAAAATTGTTTGAAATTTAAAATGTCCAACAGGGGTAATGTCACGTGGCAAAGTGCAAACTAAAGTGTACACCATAGTGTACATGTAACAAGGTTCTTACCGATTGACTTTGCTATTTGTACACTAATTTTTAACACGTTGTTTGACACTAGCATTGTTGTCAAGATTCAATTGGATGGGAAAATTGTTTGAAATTTATACTGTCTAACAGGGTAATGTCACGTGGCAAAGTGTAAACTAAAGTGCACACCATAGCGTACATGTAGCTAGGTCCTTACTGATTGAACAATACTATTTGTACATTGTTTTTTGACACGTTGTTTAACACTTGCATTGTTGTCAATTGTCAATTGGATGAGAAAACTGTTTGAAATTTAAACTGTCCAACATGGTAATGTCATGTGGCAAAGGGTAAACTAAAGTGTACACCATAATGTACATGTGGAAAGGTTCGTATTGATTGAACTTTGCAATTTGTACACTGATTTTTGACACGTTGTTTGACACTTGCATTGTTTCTAAGTGTCATTTGGATAGTAAAATTGTTTGAAATTTAAACTGTCCAGTAGGGTAATGTCACATGGAAAAGTGTAAACTAAAGTGTGTGCACCATAGTGTATATGTAGCAAGATTCATATCGGTTGGCCTTCCCAATTGGTGCTCTGACTTTTGACACATTGTTTGACCCTTGCATTGTTGTCAAGTGTCAATTGGATTGGAAACTATTTTAAATTTAAGCTGTCCAATAGGGTAATGTGACGAGGCAAAGTTCAAACAAAAGTGTACAGCACAGTGTACACGTACCAAGGTTCTTACCGTTTAAACTTTGCTATTTGTACACTAATTTTTGACATGTTGTTTGACATTTGCATTGTTGTAAGTGTTAGCTGGATGCGAAAACTATTTGAAATTTAAACTGTCCAACAGGGTAATGTCATGTGGGAAAGTGTAAACTAAAGTTTGTGCACTATAGTGTACATGTAGCAAGGTTCTTACCGATTGAACTTTGCTATTTACACATTGATTTTCGACACGTTGTTTGACACTTGCATTGTTGTCAAGTGTCAATTGGATGGGAAAACTGTTTGAAATTTAAGCTGTCCAATAGGGTAATGTCACGTGGCAAAGTGTAAATTAAAGTATTTACCATAGTGTATGTGTAGCAAGGTTCTTACTGATTGAACATTGCTGTTTGTACACTGATTTTTGACACGTTGTTTGACACTTGCATTGTTGTCAATTGTGAAATGGATGGGAAAACTATTTAAAATTTAAACTGTCCATCAGGGTAATGTCACGTTGCAAAGTGTAAAATAATGTTTGTGCACCATAGTGTACATGTAGCAAGGTTCTTACCGATAGAACTTTGCTATTTATATAATGATTTCTGACACGTTGTTTGGCACTTGCATTGTTGTCAAGTGTCAATTAGATGGAAAAACTATTTGTAATTTAATCTGCCCAACCGGGTAATGTCACGTGGTAAAGTGTAAACTAAAGTGTTCAGCATAGTGTACATGTAGCAAGGTTCTTACCAATTGAACTTTGCTATTTGTACACTGATTATTGACACGTTGTTTGACACTTGTATGGTTATCAAGTGTCAATTGGATGGGAAAATTGTTTGAAATTTAAACTGTCCAACAGGGTAATGTCATGTGGCAACGTTCAAACTAAAGTGTACAACGTGGTGTACATGTAGCAAGGTCCTCAAGAATTGAACTTTGCTATTTGTACACTGATTTTCGGCACATTTTTTGACACTGGCATTGTTTTCAACTGTCAATTGGATGGGAAAACTCTTTGAAATTTGAACTATTCAACATGGTAATGTCTCATGGCAAAGTGTAAACTAAAGCGTACACCATAGCGTACATGTAACAAGGTTCATACCGGTTGAACATCGCAATTTGTGTACTAATTTTTTACACATTTTTTGACGCTGGTATTGTTGTCAAGTGTCAACTGGATTTGTGACGCCCCGAACCTAAGCTTCGAGGGCCACGTACTTTACATAAAAACTTTTGCCTTTGGTACATGTAAATATTCTTAAATAGGAATACTACATGTTAAAAACCTATTTTTATAAAACTTTATGGCCGATAAAAGTGCATGCCAACATGAAATTTAAACATTGTAAATACGGCCTCGGCACTGTCAAGTTTAGTTGAGGCAGCAAACTTCGGCAGATTTTATAAAATTCATCCCAACTCCGTTTCATATGAAATTTGTGGCATTAGAAAGATAATTTCAAGTAGTTTTCTAGGTTAAAAAATGAAAGTTTTCCAAGATCATATGATATAGACGTTTTACTGAAAACAGTGAAGTATTTCACAGAAAATCCAGATTGACCTTGGGACGTCAAAACCTTAATAACTCAGTCCACAGATATCCAAATTGAGTATTTCTTGCGGCAATACTTAGAAATTCAAAGGGGAAAACAGACATATTTTTAGAATTTAAAATGAAGGTCTACAGAGTTAGAAACATCATTTTGAAATTGACTCCAGAAACTGCCCCGTTTCTGCCTTTTATCACTTGTAAGGAACATAAACTATAAAAACGTCTCTTAACATAACGTGAAAGATATATTCACATAATTTACTTTTAATACCATATTACATCATGTCATGTACAAAATTTATACATGATACTTTAAGAGAAATAGATGGAAACATTCCTTGAACAAAATACACGAAAGAAACTTTAGATTCAAAACATCCATTATCCTTAATCCATCATCGGTTCGGCCAACTGACTCTCGTCATTCCAACGATCATGGATCTGAAAAGTTTAGCATAACATACTTTGAGTATAAGGAAATACTCAGTAAGATACCATGCTTGAACATTTATCATGATAATACTACACCAAAGAAAGCAATCAAACCCATACTTCCATATTCCGACATGCCGGTGCCCTTCGGACTTGTCCTAAGGCATAGATATATCTAACATTTGTGGATTTCTCCACCATAATCATAACATTTGTGGATTTCTCCACCATTAACATACTTTGGTTTTTCATGCATAACTTAAGCATAAATATTACCATGAAAATCATACCACATAAGCATAGAAGGTATCTTACCGTAAAACTTGAAGATCTTTGATTGAAATGAATTGAAAGTGCTAAACTTTCTTCCTTCTCCTTTCCTTTCTTAATTTCGGTTTTTGCCTTCTTTTTAAGTGTATAAGTGTGTTGTAAAATGAAGGAAATATTTCTATGGCAATGGATATGGATGTATTTATACTCATATAAAGATAAGGATAAAACTTGATATTTTTATTTTTTATTACTTGGTTTGGCCGACTTTGACCCCCCCCCCTTTTTTTTT